TGCGTTTATCTTGTTTCAACAGTTGATGGCAAACGAGAAGTGCCTCTGTTTTGTTCAAAGTCTGGTGTGACGCCTTTGAAGACTCTCTCGGTTCCCAAATTGGAGTTGTGCGCTGCCTTGTTACTGGCCCAACTGCAATCAGCTTGTTAGTAGTCTCGATTTTGTACTCGCTCGCAGAAGGCAGGGTCGCAGATCGCCTGCCTATTTTTTCGTTTATATACTTTCGCTGTTGAAAAGGCACAGACAAATCGGTCTGCTTGCCCAAAATACTTTCGCTAGTTAAAAGGAACAGACAAATCGGTCTGCCTGCCCAAAGAACCCGTTATAAACAAACATTACATTACCATTAATTAAGGCCTTGGTGCCAATTAAATAAATAAATGCAAAATTTAATGAAAATTTAGGCGGTTTATTATTTTTAGACACCATTACAGGTTATGGTTAGTGAAAAAGCGTAACAGTATTTCGAAAGTCGACTGCCTAATTTTGATCGTCCCTTCTTTAGACCTTTGGATCTTTCATCAACATAAAAGTCAACACAAAGAACCACAGCCCCATCTGGAAATGCTGCTTGCTCATCTACATAATTATATGCCTTTGCAGAAACTGATGGTATATGCCTGTTCCATCATGAAATTCGTGTGTTGATTTGGGAACAAGACAACGCAAGTTTTATTTTAGAGATAGGAACCTATCTTGGAATTCTAGTAGGATTTCCCCAAAGATCCAAATTGAACCGAATAGAAAAATCCCCAGCTGGCAAGAGGCAAGTAAGTGAAATGCTTTACAAAATTATCCTTACAAACTAGCTCTTTCTCACTTACTCTTACCAGAATCAATTGGATCTTGTTAATTTTCCCAATTAGCTTGTGTAAAAACGCCAGACGTTACTATAGCCGTGCCATTTGAGCGACTGCAACCCAGGCTAACCGAGTCTTCTTAATAAGGGACAGATGCTTAGCTTGACCAATGCATAACAGATCCTAGGGACTTGAGCAATTTAATAGATCATCACGTAGATGTGTCAATTCTGCAAGTGACAACATTAAAGCTGGACTGTCGATTGACACTGTAATATTTAATGACAAGCCATCTGTCATAAAACTAGAACCACCTATTCCAGTGACAGAAGCCGACGAATTTGACATACTATGTTGAAGGTGGTTTTCTAATCGGAATAATATTAATTGCAGCTGACAGCCAGAATCCGATGTTCGTGGCGCACAATTGATGCCCTATCTTAAGACAAATCATGCAAAGATATTCTTATTGTTTTATGAAACCAATTGCGGAGACAGACATACGCTGATCTACTATGGTCAAATGTTCAGTGCAGCTTCTTTTCGTAGATCAAATTAGGAATATATATTTTTATTATTATTGGCATGTACGAATAGAACTCCTACACCACTACAAATTTCGAAAGTTCCAATAGAGGCCAAGGAATTTACCTGTGATAAATTGAGGTGTCGTTATTCCGCCGACAAATAATGAGGGTGTTTATAGGAGCGAACAGCGCCAAGGTAACTTCGATAAATCAAAAAAATAGAGTAGCGACAACTTCTTCAAAATTGTCTTTCGTTTTGCTGTCGAAATCGTATAAGGAACAAATTTTCATTACGGGACTATTGGCCCCAATTACATGTTGGTTTCCACCTCCGACTTTTTCCGAAGTTTTAGTGCAGGAGACGCTTCCCATTTTGTAATTCATTGATTTATATTTTAATTTAGATAACGGTTATTGCTGGGCCTTCTCCCCAAACTGTTACCCAGGCTCGAAAGTTTTTTTGACTAGCGCACTATGATTTTTTTCGCGTTTTTTTTTTGGCATAAAGTCAATTTTTTTTTGTTTGTATCTTAAAATTTTTTTTTATTTTTAATTTTTAAACACCCTAGACAGATAAAAAAAATATGTAATTTTAATACATGGAGCAACACTGTCCTGCTGGCGAGCTGTTAAAGTCAGCTAATTATGTACCACCTGTTTTGTATGAAATTGGCGCGAAAAATTGTGCAACTTTGATCGTTTGTTGTGGCAAAAGTTAACGAAAAAGTTAAGTGAATAAATATGGAAAACGATTGTACAGGTATCCAAAACTAAAGTTTACCAATGTTTGTGTCGTTGTTATGTGTTTTTTTTTTCAATTGTACCGTGTTTTGTTTATGTGTATTTTTAGAACAAGCTTAACAAGTGTAGTTGTGTTTCATGGATCAGTACTTTTGCATGGCAAAGTGTTGCAAAAAGTTGTAAATGAGAAACTATTAACCAAAGTGTGCAGATTAATGAGAAACTAACCATTTTTGTCCCAATCTAACCGTTTTCGAAAAAATCAATAAGAAAATTGAGTAACTTCTATAGTAAGTAACATAACCAAACATATTTAAAATTTTGTAAAATGTATCTTTACATTCAAATTGAAGCACTAATAATGGAGATGAATACTAAAATGTGATCTTGGATAATTGTTTCTTTTTTTTCATTAAATATAATATAAAGAAAATAAGAAATAAAAATGTTAAATGGAGCTTTTTTATATGTCGGCCAGATCGGTTATATGGCAGCTATATGAAATAGTGCTTTAAATCATTTGAAACTTGGCAGGTCATCTTGGGAGCTTCAAAAATGTATACAAACCAAATTTCAAAGCAAAAGCTTGATAAACACAAAAGTTGGGGCAAATCGGCCAGATCGGTTATATGGCAGCTATATGAAATAGTGCCCCAAATTATTTGAAACTTGGTAGGTCATCTTGGGAGCTTAAAAAATGTATTCAAACCAAATTTAAATTCAATAGGTTTAAAATTAGAGTTTATGCCAAAAAAATCGAAAAAAAAACCCATAGTGTAGCGTCCTTTTTTTAGTTTACCCCATTCCATCTGATTTCCCAGAAGGTAACTAGTGTACCCTTTTTAGTTTAATTAAGTCTTTAGTTCCAGATTAAGATAACAACAAATAAAGGGCAAAGGGGAAAAAAAGCGTTTCGTAATGTTTGAGCGCTCTCTTGCAATCTACCTTATTAATTGTCAACAGATTTTCGTCAGTAAAGCCCTTAATATTAAGGTCACACAACAGTGATTAAACTTTTTTTAGCATTAGAACTTTTTTTTTATCAAAACGAGTTTTTTAGAAAAAGGTATCTTATTACCTTAGAGAAGCAACGAAAGTTAATAGAAAATTCTATAATAATATTATTTTTTATGGCTATTCTTACTAAAATAAAATCTTGCAAAAAAAAAAATTTAAAACATTTCTTATTATTTTAATTTAATTTAACGAAAATTATTTACATCAGGCAAAATGTCTACGATTCAAATGATAAAATAAATCTTGACACTAAACTTCATCTTGCAGGGCTCTAGTAAATTTATATACCTCAGTAAAATTGATATTTGTGCAAAACTTATTTTTGATATAGCGGTTATACGAATAACTATATTAATCTTTCGAGTATACAGATTTTTTCTCGTATGCTTTGACATGTGTTTCTATGCATTTATTTCTTATCTGCTTTTAATCTATGGTCCCGTTAGGATTTTAAAGAAAGTTGATATTTGTGCAAAGTTATGCATTTGGATTTTGAGCTCGACACGTCAACTGACCTCCAGCAAAAAGCGATTTATTTTAAGAAATCGTTTATTTCTTAATACAAAAAGTTAATATTGTTTCCATTTATTATTTCTTTTTTGAGATTTATAACATTTTTGATTAAAAATGCCGCGTGCACTCGAATTAAGTGAAAAGGAGAAGACTCAAATTGAAACAATGGCTAAGTGTGGAGTTAGAGTTGGCGAAATTGCCAAAAGAATTAATAGGCATCGCAATACAATTGGAAATTTTTTAAAAAACCCAGAGAAATATGCGCAATCGAACCGCAAGGGAGCCGTTTCGAAAATAGACGCGCGCACTAAACCGCACATTCGAGCCTTGGCAACAGCTAAGACAATGAGTTGTGCACAAATAAAAGCAGATTTGCAATTGCCAATAAGCAGGCAAAGAGTGCAACAGATTTGCAAAAAAGATTTAAACCTGCAGTATGATGCAAAGGTGCACAAACCAAAGCTCTTACCAAGACATAAGAAGGCCAGGCTTGCCTTTTATGAAAAATATAAATTTTGGACAAATGAATTTGAAAAAAGTGATTTTTAGCGATGAGAAGAAGTTTAATTTGGACGGCCCAGACGGTAACCAAAAGTATTGGAGGGATCCTAGGCATCCAAGACAGACTTGCCATAAGCGAAACCACGGTGGTGGGTCACTTATGGTTTGGGCCGCTTTTAGTGCTAAAGGAAAGTCCCCTATATGCTTTGTACCAGGACGGATAAATGCGCAAATGTATACGGATCTCCTAGAAAGTGAACTTTTACCATTTGCAGAAGAGTTGCATGGCGAGGACTGGGTATTTCAACAGGATAACGCTCCTATACACGTTGCGAGGTATACGATGTCGTTCCTGGAATCAAAAAATATACCCCTACTGAAGTGGCCAGCAATAAGGCCGGACTTGAACCCAATTGAGAACCTTTGGGGCATCCTGTCAGCAAAAGTCTACAAGAGTGGAAGACAGTTTGAGTCATTGAAAGCCTTGAAGGAAGCCATTGTTGAAGAATGGGATGCAATCGACATAAACACGCTCCAAAACTTGGTAAATTCAATGCCCCATCGCTTGGAATTGGTCGTACAAGAAAACGGAGGTTCTATACCATATTAAAATATTTCTCTTAAGTCATTTTGTTAAAAAATATTATTTAGTTCCTCGACATTTTGCGCTTTTTCAATTTTGCACAAATATCAACTTTCGCTGAAGATTTTTTTCAATTAAATTGTCTATGTATTAAACATTTTATAATTTAATAAAAATCATGTTTATCAAATTTCAATACCAACTACCTATTTAAAAAAAATATTGATAAAAAATCCGCCAAGTAAAAGTTAAAAAATAAACCAACAAAATATGATGCACAAATATCAATTTTACTGAGGTAGATGAAGGAGCTCTTACATAAATATCCGGTACAGTGACTTTGGCAAACGAGCTTCCCTCAAAGACAAGTGACACCACCGGTGTGATGGGCTTTAGTTGATTTATAAGGAAGCAGCGAAGATTTGACTCGTCCAGCGAGTAATCTAAATTTGTGATCTGCAAAGTTACCGCATCGCTCGCCTCGGTTATCTTGGCGATAATGTTACCCTCATTACTTTCAGCTCCGCAGTCTCTAACTCTGCCGGTAGATAACGTGTTTGTAAAGGCTCCGGGGGAAAACATTCCTTCTCTGGGTGTTTTCATAATGCCGTTTGTAAAAGCAATATCGGCAACCGATAAACTATTATCGATGATACTTAAAGGAATAGAAGATGCGGAAAGTCCGCCGGCTGCTATTGAAACTGTTGAAGAAAACATTGTTTGTTGGAGAGTAAACTTTTTAGTGTTCTGGTAAATCGGAAGGTGAGGTTGGTAAGTCAGGGAAGCTGGAACCTGAATTTGTTGCTGTTGAAGATTCAGATGAGTGTTTGGCAGTGGGGCAGGCGCATTCAAAGCATTTTCTGCAAACGCGCAAGCCCGATTGTACGGCATGTAACGGTGGCCGTTGTATAAGGAGGAGGCTCCATTGGCCAGTGCATACTGATACACATTCAGATCCTTAGGTAAAGGGACATTGGTAGTTGAGATTTGCACATGGGTTCCGTCTATATGCCTTCCAGAAAATAGATCAGACGATTGGGAATTTCCTGGTAGTCCATTTTTATCAAAGCAGTGTGCGCCTGTTTTCCTTGAACCGAAATGGTTGTTGAACTTGGCACTTAAAGCAGCTAATGGCTTTGTTGCAGTTTGCTGTTGGTGAGTATGTGGTTGGTCTTGCCCCAGCACAAAAAATGCGCTTTCCACCTTTTCAGCTCTTTTGCAAGTCCAGCTGAAAAACAAAAAATAAATAAATAAAAAAGTTTTAGAAATATATCCCTAAAAAAATTATTATGAAATAATATTATTTTTAATACTCAATATATCAATATAATATTTGTTAATTCAATTCATTTTCATATTTGAAGTCCCACTAATTATATATATACATATATGTACTAGCTGACCCGGCAAACGTTGTTTTGCCACCAGATGACTTTATAATTTCTGTACAAAAATTACTCAGTTCTAGACTTATATGTATTTATGTATGTATGTTTAAGTTATTATAATTGCGTCTGGAATAAAATGAATCCAGGTTATTATAATCATAACGTGCATTCACGCGATTGGCAAGTGCCTTGTTTCGCACTTCCGGCTTGTAAAAGAATGGCCCACAAAAACTCAATGCCAGTGACCTCAAATGCATGCGATCCATCCAATTGCTCCTTTGAGAGATCCGCCATTACATGCTCGACTAATCGGGGCTTCGTTCGAAAGCATCTGACGCATTTGTTCAAGACCTTGCTTACCGTCTTCTTCACCCCCATAGGCCAATATTGGGATCGAATTATGCCGAGTAGGGCCCGAGGTCCAGTGTGCAGATTACGCTCATGAAAGTGAGTGATGATGGCGGCAGTGACAGGATGGCAATATGATTGGATGACGGCCATTGAAATCCAGCGACGAGTTCCTTAGTCAGCCATTCTTTGTTGCGAAGCAGATAAAGACGCAAACGTAGCATTTTAAAGAGAGAGAGAGAGAGAGAAAGCGATGGTACGCACTTCCGGCTTGTAAAAGTATGGCCCACAAAAATCAATGCCAGTGACTTCAAATGTATGCGATCCATCCAATCGCTCCTTTGGGAGATCCGCCATTACATGCTCGACTAATCGGGGCTTCGTTCGAAAGCATCTGACGCATTTGTTCAAGACCTTGCTTACCGTCTTCCTCCCCCCAATAGGCCAATACTGGGATCGAATTATGCCGAGTAGGGCCCGAGGTCCAGTGTGCAGATTACGCTCATGAAAGTGAGTAATGACGGCGGCTGGGACAGGATGGCTCCGTGGCAATATGATTGGATGACGGCCATTGAAATCCAGCGACGAGTTTTTTAGTCGGCCATCCACTCTAAGAAGCCCAAAATGATCGATAAAAGGAGATAGAGACGCAAGCGAACTAGATGGGGCTACAACTCCCTTAGACTGCAAGGATTTTATGTCTTCCCATAAATGAGAACGCTGAACCAGCCGAAGCAATAACTGAGTACCGCTTTGGATATCCGACACCTTAAGATCCGGCTGCCGAATGCGATTAATAAATTTGCAGACGTATCCGAAAATCCTTTGAAGCGCAGCGAAGGAATTTGCAAATTTGGAACAGGCTACGATATCTACGTATGGCGATTTTATTAACAGGACCTTTCGACGAAGCTCAAACGTTGACTTCTCAGCAAGGATTGGGGAAGGCCAGTCAAACTTGGGTCCGCAAAGAAATGTCGGCCCGTTAAACCAGATAGGGGACTCGCTCAGCTCAGTGGGAAGGACACCACGGGAGAGAATGTCAGCCGGATTCAAAGAAGTTGGAACGTAACGCCACTCCATCGAATCGGTTCGCTCTTGGATGGCAGCAACTCGGTTTGCCACAAACATGTTGAATCTGGCGGGCTCGTCTCGGATCCAGGACAGCGCAACCGCAGAGTCACTCGAACAATAATACTGTCCCTTAAATACGTTGGTGCCAGCTTTTTCTGAGATGAGCTTAGACAAGAGATCGGCCCCACAAAGCTCCAGCTTGGGCACGGTGAGTGTCTTCAAGGGAGCAACCCTTGACTTTGAACAAAGCAACTGCGACTGTCCACTGCACACGATGTAGACACAGGCGCCGTATGCTTCCATGCTGGCATCGCAAAATCCATGGAAGGAAAATTTTCGCTTTTGCTATCACCGGTCCAAGCAATCCAAGAGGATCACAAAAACGTGCAATGGCAGACAGGACAGATCGCCTACAGGGACTTGAGGTCAACTGCAAGACAGAAAAAGAGAACAAAAGCTGATCAGAAGCAGGATCCCAGGCTAAACCCAGAGTTTTGGTAAAGTCAGTGCTGTCATCAAACTTCAAATATGACTCCTTAAATTCGTCAGACACTCCACACAAAGCCGCTGGAACGTTTGAGCACCACTTTCTAAGTTTAAAGCCTCCTCTGGACTGGATTTTAGAGGTCTGATCTACAATGATGATAGCCTCGTCCACGGTCTGGGCTCCAGATATCAGATCATCTACGTAAAAGTCACAAGTCACAAGTCTCCAGTCATAACTATCGGGTATGAGCGAAATCGAATTAGAATCTAGAACAGGGTATTTTGAATTATGGGGCCTGCCATGGTCAAATCATAAAGAGAGTAGCCTGATGAAGTCGCGGCAGATCCTTCAAAAACTGCGCGAAGCTTTGTAGTAACTTCCAGTAAAACAGATTGGTATGTAAATCTAAAACTTTATTAATGAGCTGGTTATGTCACTGGCTGCACAACAGTCCACCCCGATTATATCGGCTTGTAATCCTTTCGGGCTTCGGGGGATATCAACATACTGCTACGCAATAAGGAGAGGCTTCGGCAAGACCATAGATCGCCTGCCTCGAAAGAGCTGATTAAAACAAACAAACAATCTTCTACGCACAGCCCTTAAAGATGCAAATAATCGATCTCTATTGTTTTATTTGCAGCACCTCTTCCCAAACAACAGACTGTGGAAAGCGAAATCGAGTATATGTCCACCATTCGAAAGTGAGTCGCCATTACTCAAACAGGAGAGTGGGCTCGCAGCAAGGAAGAGAGGGCAAATGTATTTGCCGCACATCTAGAAAGCGTCTTCAAACCATTTCCACCAAACTCAACAATCCATTCCATTGAGGTCCCAACAAACATCATTCCAGATGCTACCCTGCCTGTCATATTTCTATATTTCTATAATATGATAGAGGTGCCAGGACACGATTTAATATCCCCTAAAATGATTATAGAGTTGCCGAACTGTGCAGTAAATCTTTTCACTATAATATTCAACAGCATGATTTAATGGTACTATTATCCACAACGATGGAAAATGACTGTCATCACTATGACCCATAAGGCCGGAAAGGACAAGTCCCAGCCCTCATCATATAGGCCATTCAGTCTTCTCTCGTGCCTATCAAACATATTCTCCTAAATCGTATAAAGCAACACCTACAGTCACAAATTGCCATCCCAAGCCAACAATTTGGTTTCCGCGAGAAGCACGGAACCATTGAAGAAGTAAACCTTATAACCTCCGAGATACGAAATACGTTTGAAAGTCGAGATGTTGTTTAGCCTTTATGTATTTTGTTAGACATATTTAATGGCTGCATGAGTATAGAGGCTAGCTTCTTTTCTTGGGTTTATTTTGCTCAAATTTATTTCAAAAGGAGTTCTTCATGTTTCGAAGGCACAACTAAAGAGAACTGTTTTTTTTTTTTTAATAATTTTTCAGTTCAATTTAGTTCAGAGAACGATTTTTCTCGCACTCACAAAAATAAATACACTCTTAGAAAATACCATACATTATGCGCACCTATTCAAAAATGCAAGTGCTCCATAGCACTAGTATTGATTTAACGTTTATTTATTTATCGGATAAATGTTGAAATAATGCATAGACACAATCAAAAGGTTCTGAAAAAATCCGAATTTGATTTTTAACGCGGGCTACACAAATATCGGCAAATTGGTGTAAAATAAATAATAATACATAATAAAAGATACAAATATGTATATACAACACCCTTGAATTACTTTTCGTCAAAAAATCTTTAGTTAAGTATTATTAGACGTCAAGATTAACATAATACATCCATACTAATATATAAATGTGAAAATGTTTCTGTCTGTCTGTTACTCTTTCACGCCTAAACGGCTGAACGGATTTTGATGAAATTTGATATGGTGATAGATGATAACCTGGAAATCCTAATAGGCTATAAATAATCACACCATCGTTTTTAGGTGGTAAGCAGCAGGTGGCGAAACGGAATAATCACGCAATCGTTCTTATGGGGTAGGCAGTAGGCATTAGGTTTTAAGTAAAAAGGTTTATCAAAGTTTTAAAAAAATTGTCTTACGTTGTAGTTTTTAAAACTCCAGTTTTAAAAAACCTTTAATTATTGTTTTCGATATGCCACGCAAACGTAAATCTAATCTAAGCAGTATTTCTAGCAGAGCTCGAGCTGCAAAAGTTGCTAGAGGCTAAGAATCTGAAGAGCAGACTGGGACGCGTCAGATGTTAGATTCTCAGCGTCATGCGACTCAAAGAGCTTCTGGACCTATACGCAGACTCGGACCCGTCAGACCCTGGATGCTGAACGCCACGCATCTTAAAGAGCTGCTGAGACAGTGGAACAGACTCAGACACGTCGAGTTTTAGATGCCGAACGTCACGCGCAATTGTTTGCGGCAGAGTCTGACGAAGATTCACAAAGACGACGTCTTTTAAATGCAGGGCGTGTAATGGTCACCTAAAAAGCACCATTTGAAATCGCATGAGAGGTTAAGGCCCTTTTATAGCCGCTCTGGCGACGAAAAGGTCGCATGCGCTCAAAGAGGCTTTGGTACATTGGAATTATTCGTTCTCTTGTTCTGAGAAAACAAATGCAGCTGGAAATCATAGAAAGCTCTCTCTATCGATGCTACCAATTTTGGCTATATAAGCTGAAGCCACTGCAAGCTCGATCTCTTTTTGATTGCTATTGCTGACACCACGAGTTGAATTTTTCTGCGGGTATTGAATTTTTCCCCGTCGCCACCCATGTGTCCCACTAATTGTCCAGTGGACAAATCCAAAGACATCCACGTCAAGAGCAGATTTTAGAAACCCCTGGTTTGGTGCAGGAGGCACCTGAGGTAGGTGAAAACTTGTTGCCGAAAATATTTAGTGAACTGTCAATGACAACAGACGTGTTTTTATATCGCTCCGCCGAGTAACTAAAAATACATCGG